AATTTTAATACAAATCTTGTTCTGCTTTTTATTATATACATTTTTTTTCTATTTTTGATCTTTATTTTTTATTTTTTTTTCGGCTCGACGCAGCTTAGCTGACCTTAAAGCCTTATTTGCATACGACATATGTAATTGATAATACAACTTTTTTTTTGCATTTTGGTTTTTACGAAAATTGACAAATACAGTTACCTGTATCAAATAACAAAAATTTATGTTGAATATTTTCAGAATGAAAACTATAAATCTGGTTTAACCGACAAAATTAGCTTTAATAAATTAAATTAAATTATACATGCAAAAAAAATTAACAATTGTAAGTAATTAGAGAAAAAAGTTAAATTATCGTGTATCATTAAAAGAATGCTAATTGCGTAAAAGTGCCTTTTCTTAGAAGAAAAGGTAATATAATTTTTTAAAACTCATTGTATAAACAAAAATGAAAATATTCAATTAAAAGCATTTATATCCAAGCCAAATAAATTATCGTTTATTTCTTTTATTGTAAAAAAATAACGATTTCACTTCCCTATGCCAACTAGATTGCCATTTAGATTTTTTATTATTATATTCTTTTTAAAGGTATATACATACATATGTGCATATGTATGTGCGTATATTTTTGACAGTTTAAATTTATTGCTTTTTATGTATAACAATGCATATGTTTTTGTTTTTCTAAAGATCTCTATCAACAAATGTGTCATCCAGCAATTGTTTGCATTTAGTTGGAATTCCGTTATTCCAGCAATAAAGCCATATATACACACATATACATAAGCTTATATATACAACATATATGTTTTTTTTAATGTTTTCATTATTTTTATTTAATTATTTTTTTTTTATTATTAGCACATTTCATTTCCCTTATTGTACAATATGTTTGTTTAAACTCATACATACATACACCTTAATGATATCAGTTTGTCTGTACTTTTGTTTATCCCCGTGTCCGTAATTTATTTGCTCATTTATTGATTAAAATAAACTACATTAGGTATGTATGCCTGTATTTTTTGAATATTATCAATTATTTGATAACGTACTACTTGTAATTGGCAAAAAATTACGTCATCAATATGTTTATTGTTTGACATTTTGATAATTTTCTCTTTATCAGATTTTTGCGAAAAACATTATATTACTTAAATCGGACAAATGTACACAAAGTTATCATATTTTGAGAAATCAATAAAAAAAACCGAACGAACCTTTTACTTGACCAAGTATTATATATTTATTATCTGAGGTTAATGAGTTTCAATTTTCAATGAGTAAATTTATTTATTTTGTATTGCATGCGATAAAATTTGTTAACAATTTATGACAAATTATTTTCTTCAGTCAAACAATAACGTCTGTTTTATTTTAATATTTTGTAACAAGAAAATATTTATTTGTATTTCCAATCATTTAATTGAATTTAACTCAATTTTAATTTATTCTATGTTTTTCTTTTCATTTTATTTTATTTGGCATTTCTTTAAATTACTTTGTGTTATTTTATTTCATTTAATTATTTTTATTATTATTATTATAATTTAAGTCAATTTAATTTAAATTATTTTAACTTAATTTATTTTAATTTAATTGTACTAAATTTAGTGTTTAATTATTTGATTTAATTCAAGTTAATTTCATTTGATTTATTCGACTTATTTTATTTTGAGTTATTTTGTTTTATTTAACTTGATGTAATCTTTTTTATTTAATTTAGTTCCAATTTATTTTGCTCCTTTTATTGGATTTAATTAATTTGTTTTATTTTATTTTTTAATTTATTATTTTTTTAACTTATTTTATTTTATTATATTATATTTTACTTTCTTTTATTATATTTAATTTAATTTAATTTTAGCCATTTACTTTATTTTAAATTTTTTTTATATCATTATATTTTAGTTTATTTTAAATATTTCAATATAATTTAATACATATTTATTAAATTTTATTTCACTTTAGTTATTATGTTCAATTTAGTTTTATTCTGCTTTACATTATTTTATTTTAATTTAATTTATTTTAAAATAGTTCATCTGGTTTTTTATTTGTTTTATTTTTCTTTTACATTCCTTTAATTTATTTAATTTAATTTATCTATTTGAATTAATGTAATTTATTTTTCGATTTGTTTAATTTTATTTTCTTTTATTTTATTTTTGTATGATATTTTTTATTTTGCGTTATTTTAATTTATTTTATATGATTACAAATTGATTTCTTTAATTAATTAATTTAATTAATTATTTTAGTTTTAACCTTATTTTTAAATGTACTTTTATTTGATTTTAATTTTTTTTTTTGCTTTTTTTACTTTAGATTAGTTTAATTTCATCTAATTCTATTAAGTTAAATTTTATTCTGCCTTATTTAGTTTTGTTTTATTTTAGAAAAAGAGTCTTCCTGTTAATCTAAGCAAAAAAACCTACCTATGTATCGAATTTCAAATAAATCGAATCTTAATTAAGTTTTTTTTCGAATAGATCAGTTCCTAGTACTCTTTCCGGTGGGAAAAAAGGTTATTCTCAGAACTACTGAATATACAAATACAATGTCATTAAGATCGGTAAAGCCGTTTCGAGAGAGTATCGTGTATAACATGGTGACACGAGAATTTGACATTTTTGTTTAACATTTTATGTTTAATTATTTTTATTTTATTTTGTTTAATTTAACCTTTTTTCATTTTATAAATTTGGCTTTATATTTCATTTGTGTTTATTTCCTTTCACTTTCTTTTATTTAATTAATAAAATATAATTTTAATTATTTGATTAAATCTAATTTAGTTTAATTTATATTTTTTCGCTTTGTTTAACTTACTTTTATTTTTTCTTTTACGTAATTTTTTTTTTTTTTTTGTATTATTATATTTTACTTTATATGAATTTAATTTACCGTAATTTAAAGTATTTCATACTATTAAATTTAAAAAAAATTAATTTAATTTAAATTGGGTTTTTTTTAGTTTTGGTATTCATTTTAAATTTATTTTATTTTTAATTTTATATTAATTTTTTTAACTTATTTTTTATCTGCTTTTATTTTTTATATTTAATTCTTTAATTCTTTTAATTAATTTTATTTATTTTCAATTTAATTTCATTCATTTCATTTTAATTTTATTTCAATTAATTATTTTTATTTAATGTAATTAAATGTAGTTTTATTCAGTTTTCTTTTATTTAATTTTAGTTTATATTATACTCCTTTATTCTATTTTGTTTTATATGATCTTTGTTTATTTTAATTTAATTTAATGTTATTTAGTTTTATTTGATTTTTTAGTTAATTTTTATTTAATTTCATTGTGTATTGTTTTATTATTTTTATATTCTTACATTTAATTTAATTTAATTTCGTTTATAAAAACTTACGTTAATTAAATTTTACTTTTTTATTTGAAATTATTTTTTTTTTAGTTTTTGTTAAAACGAAAATTTCATCTTATAAAAGATAAAAAATATTATCACAGAAAACTTTAAAAAATAATAAAATAAAAAAACAAAATTAAATTAACTTAAATTATTGTTTATTAAAATCAATTAAATTTTATAAGAGTATTTATTGCATTAATTGCAATTTAAGTAATTGTATTATTATTATTATTTTTTATTACTTTTATAGTCTTATTTTAGTCGATGTTATTTTTAAAGATAAATTCACATTAATCATTCTAACTTATTTGTGCAAATTTCATGGTAGTATTAATTGAAAAAAAGAAAATAAAACAACCAAAACAGGTACAACTCAGTGACAGGAGGCCTCCCAAGTAGGGCAGAATAAAATATTGATAAAACAATAATTTATATCTTCCTCTCTTTACTTAAACGAACCAAATGTACATAGTATGTATGCTTGTGTATGTAGTAGTAGTATGTATATGTATGTGAATTTGCACTTAATATTGAAAGAGGAAAGCAATAAAAGGACTAATTTGCAATTTGCTTTTTTTTTTTTGACAAAATTTAGACACATGAAATTAATAAGTATGCATGTGTGTATTCAAAAATAACAACATGCTGATGTCACACCACCAAGTGTTACCAACAATTGTAATAAAATTAATGGCGATATTTTTATAGCCAAAATGCAGACTAAATAAAATTCAAATTTTTATTAGAAGACAGAATTTAATTACCACATAGAGCCTACGCTATGGCATGCATATTTAATAAATACCTACATACATACGTATATATAAAATAAATACTCATAATAATTGGTGTGCTCCATAAATGGTGGACTAATTGACGCATTGACATAATTCGTGCAAAACTTCGATTTTTGTGCTTTTGTTGTGTGTGATGAGCAAAATCAAATCATTTACAATAAGTATTATATGTAATAATAAAATACAAATACTTGTTGTTGCATATATTATTATGCACAAATTTTAATAAGTCAAATAAATAAATAAAAATACAATTTAATTCATATTAAAAAGAATTTCTTGCTATAAATTTTATAAAAATAGCTATGATGGAATGCCATTTCGTACTGTATACGAATACATACATAGATAGATACTTTCATACATGTATATGCACATTATTGATTAATATACATAATTCAATAAATTCATATCGAAAGCCGTGTCATACAATCAGTTGACGTGCTTCTTATACTTAATTCGCTTGGTTGCACTTAAATGGGCCGGTTGTCGATTATTTTTATGGATCTCTCCATTGCCATTGCCAATGTATGGCAATTAAAAAAGAAATGCTAAAAAAACACAAAACAAAACAAAACAAAGCGAAGAGACTAACAATAAATAATAAATATAGAATATTACATTCGCAAACATACACACACACACATGTAGATATGCAATTGCACTAAGCTGCGTTTTGCTATTGAAATCATTGCATCTCGAGTTCATTCGTTTTGCATACCACACTTTTCTTTATCACATCCGTTATTATCGATCTCCATTGTTTCTCTGAATTTTTTTCATTTTTTTCATTTTGAGTATGACTTTTCTTTCTTTGCAGTCTGAATCGGTTTGTCACAAATGCAATGAAATCATCACGAAACGCATTATAACAGCGCTCGGCAAGACTTGGCATCCGGAGCATTTTGCATGCAAGGACTGCAACACACCCATCGAGGAGGCCACATTCAATATACAAGATGGTGAACCGGTTTGCTCGAAATGTTTTCTAAAACTCTATTCAGGCACATGTCACGGCTGTAAACAACCCATATTGGAGGTGAGTAGGAAGAGAAATTTTGATTTTTAATTCAAATGTTATGTTATGGAGAGAATTTTTGTTTAGGACAATGTTGCCAAATTTCTTTTTAAAAAACTTTCCTGTGCGTGTTCAGTGAAGGTGACAGATTTCAATTGACGTGTCGTCATTGTTTTCTGCTTGTCAATAGTTTTAAGTAAATTGTTGAAGGCAATGTTGCTAAATTTCATCGTTTCATCGTAGGAAATTGCTATTGTTTTTTTTTTTTTTAGAAAATTCTCCACCATGTGCATATTTTATCCTGCAAGTTATAAAATTTCACGTTGTGTATTGTAGGCTTATGCTTGACAGTAGTTTAAGTACAGTTAATATAGGTAATTTTGCCAAATTTTATTAAAGGAAATTTTTCTCTATAATTTTAAAAGAAAATTCAGCACTCGGAGAGGTAGACATACCCGGCCGAGGGGCGGCCGCAATTAGTAAATTTAACTTAATTTTTGATTCAAATATTGGGTGTATGCATTTGTTCGTGCGGTTTTTTTTCGAAAATTGAGACTTTATTGTAAAAAAATTGTTATGCATTTAATGTTCAAAGTATTGCCCATCGGAAGCTGTCATGTCTGCCTATCTTTCTGGCAGTTTGTGGATCCCTTCTCAAAAGAACTTCTCTGGCTTGTAGGTTAAGAAAGAATCGAGCCAATTTCTGATACCCTATTCTGAAGTGAAGCATACTCCGGTGAGGGCATTCTGCATTGATCTGAACAAGTTTTAATCGGAAGGTACTATGTCTGGGCTATAAGGCGGGTGAGGTAGAACTTTCCACCCACAGTTTTTCAAATAATTTTTAACTGGCCTTGCAACATGTGGCCTAGCGTTGTTATGATGAAAAGTTATTAATTCATGTCTGGTCGCATATTTTTCCACGATGGCCTTTTTCAAACGAATCAGTTTCTTTCGGGCCCTCTGCTGAACGACTGACCCAATTTCAATAGCTCATGATAGCGCACACCCTTGTGGTTCCACCAAATACATAGCATAACCTTGACACAATGGATATTCGGCTTTGCCGTGGATGTCGATGGTTGGCCGGGCTTCACATACGATCTTTTGCGCTTTGGGTTATCATAATGAATCCATTTTTCATCGGCGCGGTCGCGACGTATAGCCATATGAATTACTTGGAAAAACTTAAAGAAAGTTGGTATTAGCAATGTGGCCGAATTTATACAAAAAAATACTACTTTTCATGCGAGCTAGATAAATGCCTGTTATACATGAAAAACATTTAATTTTTAGCTCCTGTTTTTCATTGGAAACGCGCCCGCATACTTATAAGCCTTTAGTTTCAGTTATTTTGTTTTGATATAAAATATTCTTCAGCACTTTTTCAAGACCTCAACTGTTTTGCTCTTTTAAAATGGTATGACAAAAATTTGTTTGCCAAAAACGTCGCAAATTTGTGCGTATGGAATTTTTACTGTTATACGTTTTAAAGAAAATGAAGCATGGCAGTCAGAGATTTTAACCCAGTTTTTCTTGAAATATTCCTTTTTTCATTAGTTTCAGGAAATTCATTGTAAACAACGTTGCCAATTTTCAAATTAATGATTAATCAGATAATCCCGGCATATTTTATAAATTATTTTCAAACATTTTATTCGCTTCAGTTGTTCTTATGTTCATTTAGTAGGGATTTCCAGGAATGTTAATACTGGTTATTTTAGAAGGACAGGGTGTAATCGATAAGAGCAAAATAATTCTTAGCCACTCCAGCGTCTTTCAAGCAGTACTAAGTGAAATAATAGAAGCCTCTTTATGATTATTTTATTCTGAAGTGAAGTGACTCAACCTATCGCAAACCATTCAGATTGCCAAACAGCCATTAAGACTCTTCAATGCTATAAAATTAGTGTTATATGTGGAAATAAGATACAGGGAAAGTTTAAGCAAATTCCATACTGTACGAGAAAAGCTCTTGATTTGAGTCTCTACATGGAGAGATATGTCATGAAACTTTTATGCCGAAACACCAACTACTAACTACGGTACATTTTTCACACGACGTAGGCATACTTCTTTCCTCGACAAAATATGTTTCCTGATAAAATCGGTCTTTACCAGTAGGGACAAACGAAGAAGTTGGCAAGAAACTACATTTCATATAACCAGATCGAAGAAAAGATAACTTCTTTCAACTCGAACATCCATTAGCATCACAACTGCCGTACCAGCCGCACACTGTTTGGGAACGACCTACTTCTCCAACGACTTCCGTCACAACTATAGGAGAGTTATAATTGAGGAGCAGTCAGTAGAGCACAATCTCTGTTACTGCCCAATACTCAGTGCGGCTAGATGTTGTTTTCTTGTACATATTCTTATGACTACTCTGCAGAACTAGTGTCAGCAAGTATCAACAATCTTTGTGGTTTCGTAAAATGCACTAAATGGTTTGCTCCTTTAAAAAAGGGAAAAGAGGACGAGCATTTGTAACATTGAATCCGCGGGCAGGCAATTGCAACATCTTAGCTTTAAGCTTGTGGAATGAGCTTCAGCTCAGCAAGTGTCTTTTAGTTTTGGGTAAAAAGCACTAAATGGTTTGATTGTTTAGAAAGGTGAGAAGGAGACCGGCCAACATTGGCATCATGTGACCAAGCAACCAAGCAGCCACAACAACACAACTATAAGCTATATACTTTACAAGGCATGCAAATTATGGCTTTAATTCTGCGATTTGGAATTCATTCCCATTGCGATTTTAACTTAAAGAGGGCAGGACAGAGACCCAGTGAAGTATTTTTTGGCAAATATTGACTGTGGACATTTTTTGTGAACTAATTATTTTAATTTCATATACTTCCTGTTGTGCTGACACTCATAAATTAAAGGTTATTTGTACATTAATTTTAAAAAACATTTTACATTAAAAAGAATTTTTTTGATTTTATGCTAAATCAGATTTTAATTAATTAGTCAGGAAATTAATCATTATTATTGATTGGTGAATTGAACTGGTTTCCAATTTCAATTTTGAAAGTAAACTTTTCTTTTAAAGATAAGCTTCACAACAACAAGGAATTTACTTAATTAAAGTCGTGGTTGTGCCACTGATTTTTGAGCTACACACACTTAACATCTTGACCCTAATTGCCTTGACTAAGTAAAGAGGAAAACAAAAACAATTATTTTCTTTGTTTATTACACTTTAATTGAAAGAAAACAAAAGTACTAAGTTAAATTATTTGAAGTTAATCTCTTTTTAAAAAGCACAAATTAAATAAGTGCTGCTCCAGTGGTTCGTACATCCATGCCATATACATATACATATATATATATATTTGTTAACTAAGCGCTTAGATCACTCTCAATTATGTTCATTTAGTGAGAATCCGCGTTTTCTTTACGCAGAAGTTTGACTCATCAGTGGAAAGAGCTGAAGGAAAGAAAACAAAAAACGTGTAGGCAAAGGTTGAATGGAAACTTTTCAAAAAGAACATTTTTTTACCTGCTTTTGACGTTAATTTTTAATAATATAGGGTTATTCATTTCGTAGTTTTAAAAGTACGCGACTGTATTTTAACATTTCTCCAACTTAACAGTTAAATCAAACTTATTTTATTTCATATAAAAGCCAAACAGTTATGCAAATGAATCGCCTTATAACAAAAAAAAAAAAAAAAAAAATAATGCTTCATAAGTGTCGTGGGTTTACACCTACATCATATATATAACGTTCAGCCTACAAAACAACTGAAAGTTAGCTGACCCAACTCACACCACTCCTCCCGTTGGAACGAATTCATGGTGAACCAAACCGCAAATATCGAAAAAAACCATGTCCAAAAACTTTCTGGTCTTAATGTACGTCAATTGCGTGCTTGAACAGAAAGCTTTGGACAGCGATTTTTGTAACAAAATTTTCTTCAGAGACGTTCTTCAGTCGGGGGATATGTAAAGAAACAAAATTTTCTCGTTTGGGACTTTGAAAGTTCTCAAATAGTTGAAGAGAGCCCATAATACCAAGAAAAAAACTTACTGTCTGGTGCGCTCTTTGGTCCGGAGTTGACCTCACTGCCTTGAAAACGACAGCGTATAAAAACTGACATTTTTTAGGGTCTGTAATTGAAGAGCACGACTTGGAAAATATGTGGTTTCAACAAGATTGTGGCAGATTGTGTGTTGGTAGAAATTTCTCGGTCGCTCAAGCTCTCGTCGTGGCGATGTCAATTATTCACCGAGGTCGTGGGATGGATTTTTTTTGTGCTGCTACGCGAAAGATCGTGTTTATGCAGTTAAACATTTAAATCTTGAACACCTGAAAACCAGCTTTCGTCAAATCGTTAAGCTGTGACACCGCCCGATAAGTGCCAAAAATTGTTCCAACAATACCTCAAACGGTTTGCAAAAATTTTCTAGGTTTATTGAATGATTTAGTGACTTTCATCTATAATGTGAAAGTTCAAACTTTATAATAAAAATGACTTTCATGAAAAAAATAAATATATTTTTTTTCGAAACCACAAAATGTATAACCCTGTACTTAACATTTATTATGAGCAAAATATCCAATTTATTGGCCATCATTAATCTTAGTACAATGTATTCACAACAAATACATGTTTTTGCTTTATTGCTGTCCAAATTTTGAAACCAGAAAATATTTGTAATTTTTCAAACGCCTTTTCTGACAATGTGGGCGTCAATTGAAATACTCCAGAATTTGGTAAAATTGTCGCAAACATAATGAGCTATTATTATTAATGAGTTTATATGAGTCACAAAAAAAAAAAAAAAAAAAAACCGAAAAAAAAAAAAAAAAAAAAATACCGTAAAAACATATAGAAAAAAATGTGTAAATTAAAATATTTATTTTGCATGATGTTGCGCTTTAAATAAACAGTTAGATACGAAAGAAAAAGTTGGCAACCTACGCACCCGACACTTTTATGTTCACCTACACCTTTTTCTTGTCAAACACTTGAGAAGAAAGCTGCAATGTTTTCAAATGAAAAATGACTACG